GCAATTTTGATTTTTTTTTACAAATTTTTTAATTTTTTTTTGTGAATTTCATAAAAAAAAAAGGAAAAAAGTGAAAATAAAGTGGACAATTAATGCTAAAATTTTTATGCAGACGTTAGTTAAAATATTATTCTGAATTTTTGATTGCAAGAAAACAAAGTAAATAGTTCAAGTTTCTTGAATAATTTGAACATAAGAAATTATTAAGTTTAATAATTAATAATAGCTTTTGCGAATAATTTGCATTTATCTATCTGTCATATCTTCTCATTATCTTTTAATAATTTAACAATTTGAAAAAATTTAAATTGAAAGTATTAATGGTTTTAGTCTATGATTTTCAAAATTTCAATACATTACAAATATAAATGTAGTATATTAAAAAAATGGTCGTTTTTTAAAATCATAGCAAATGCATTAGTGAAGTGAAATGCTTATTCTGAAGTATTTGCTTGAGACTAACTTTTTACTTTCTAAAAATATAACAAAGATTTATACTATACTACAAACTGGGAAAGTAATTTGAATATTATGAATATGTTATGTTATAAAAGTGTCATATTGAAGTTGTGATTAAATTATTTTATGAAACAATTTGATGAAAATTTGTCATATACAAAAAAGGAGCGAAATTTTGTTCGTAAGTTTATTTATGATTTGCAGAAGTTTAAAATATATATTAAAACAAAAATTTGCCTTAATAATTATAGGATATTAAAATATTTTTTTTAATAACAGAGATTAATAAGTTAATGAGATAGCTGTTACTGTATTGCAAACAGTTCTTGTTGATAATTTTGCTATTATTATCGAAGAAATTAATGATTATAGAAATTGTAAAATTTTCATGTTAGCATAACTAATTATTTCAGTAAAAATTTGAAATATATCATTTATTTTACGAACAATTTTTTTCAATTATCTTATGATAAGTTATGTTTTTGACTGTTTTGGCAAATTGCGATAAACAGTTAAAATATTTTAGTATAAAATTTTAATACTTAAAAATGCTAAAATATTATAAAATAATATCAAAAATTAAAATAATATTATAAAACTTAAATATATTTTTGTAAAGTAAAATTATTTTAAATTATATATTTTCAAAAAATTAAGAATTTATATATTTTTTTGATACAATTTATGTGAATTTTTATTTCTTAACTTTTCACTAATGCATTTTCGCACTAAGCAATTAAGGCCTTTTTAAAAAGGCTAATCTGAAAAAAAGAAATTTGAAAAATGTAACAATAAATTTGATGCCACATTTTTTTCAAAAAATAAAAAATAGCAAAAATATGTAGATAATATCCTTCAAAAATGAAATACTTAAAATTTTTGAAAAACTTAAAAAATAATTTTTTTATTGCTGCTGAATATTTTTTATGCTATATTTTAAATTGTGCTATTTTTTAAATTGCTATTTAGCAACAATAACTTTTGTTAATTAATTCCAACACAATGAAAATTGATAGTTTGCTAAAAATATTTTTTTATTACAACAACAAATCATTTTAAATAATAACTTAATGTTTGTTTATTGTTTTAAAAAATATATTGCATTTGTATAATATATTCAAAATATTGAAATAACTGAATGGCATAAAAGTAAAAGTCATTATTTATT